CCACAGCTTTAAGCACGGCTTTCAGCACGATGCATATGCGTTCGGCTCGGCTGTGCCGCTCGGCCACGATCGGGAGCTGTGTGGGCTATTGTGAATAGCCCGTACAGCACCCCTTCGGTTCTACCGAACCGAAGGGGTCCTGGGGCCGAGCTAGCCGAAGGATCGGCCGAAGCTACGGCCAGACCCTTCGGCAGCTTCGTGAATAGATCCCTTAGAGTAGGTTGTCCATTTAAAGCAGAATTAGTTAGTTTTTTGTTTTGTTTTTTAATGGCAAACACTAAAATTAAAAGTTAAAAATTGTTCATGCTGTGCAGACATACTAATACAAGTAGACTGGAAAGAAAAAACACACAGCTCACCCCTGTCATGTAGCTTTGTAATCCACATTCAGTGGACAAATAACCCTCTAAGATCATTACTCTGGAGTAATGATCTTAGAAACTGCAAAACTGCCACACAATGCTCTGCCAAAGAAAATCAAGTTTTATTCCACATGCATCTGTACGAAAAAACAACTGATGACATGTTTCTGCCTTAGGCCCCGTTCACATTGCGCAATTCGCAAATCGCGCGTTTGTCGCACGATTTGCATTTTGCGCGATTATGCGCAAATGCTTGCATTAAGCAAGCTGGAATCGCGGCAAAATCCGCTCCAAAAAGGGTCCTGCTGTAGCGACACACGACCCGCGACAGCAGGACCATTTGCCCCATTGAGATGCATTGAAGAGTGATATCGCGCGGTAAATAGCCGCGATATCGCGGGAATTTCCGCGCGATAAATTGCTCAATGTGAACGGGGCCTTACTCGGCCTTAGTCACAGATTAGGCAAGATGGCATCTGCATAGTAGGCAATATAGAATTGCAAAAGGTAACACAGATTTGCAAGTATGCATGCATACCTCATTTTTAACTTGTAATTTTAGAGTGTTTCCAGTAAAGATACTTTAGTTTCCCTTTATTTTTATTTTTTATTTTTTATGACTAATTTTACAGGAAAAAAAAAGCAATTGGTATAGATAGCATGTTGGTATAGATACCATTGTTTTTATGAGACAAGGTTGTGGTATATATTTTTTATGTGTTTTGTTGCTCAGAATTATTTAAGTCTCTTTCTTTTCTGTGACATAGAACACCTGCAATGATTGGCTGTTCCTTCGTTGTCAACAGACAATTTTTTGGAGAAATTGGCTTACTAGATCCTGGAATGGATGTGTATGGAGGAGAGAACATTGAACTCGGTATAAAGGTTTGTGATATATTATTATTATTATTATTATTTTTATGCAGGATTTATATAGCACCAAGAGTTTGCACAGTGCTTTACAAAATAAAGGGAGAGAATACAGTTACCATCTATTTCAATACAGGGGGGTTAAGAAGGCCCTGTTGTGAAGCCACCAATTTGGCCAGAATGTACCCCTGCTGTGAGATGTTTCTTTCTGTTTGTGTGTTTGTATTTTGTTTTACTATGTATAAAAAACAATAAAAATTTTGATTGGAAAAAAAAAAAGAAGGCCCTGTTCATGAGAGCTTACAATATAAAGGGAAGGGCAAATGATAAAAAAGGCATTGATTAAATTAAAGGCAAAGGGATGAGCTAATGGAGAAAGTAAAATTAGTTTTTATGTCAAGGTGGATAGACTATTCTGAAGAGATGAATTGTCAAGCATTGCCTAAAGGCAGACAGGATAGGGGATAGCTGGGCAACCTGGGGTAAGGAGTTTCAAGGAAAGGGAGAGGAATCCTGGAGGTGAGCATGGGAGGAGGTGACAGGCATGCTAGAGAGCAAAAGTTCAAGCAAGTAGCGGAGAGGGTGGTTTGGGTGATATTTTGTGACAAGGATGGAGATGTAGCTTAGGGGTGAGTTGTAGATGGTTTTGTATGTTTTTGTTAGCATTTTGAATATTATTTGTTGGGCTAGTTGAAGGGAAGGGGCGACGGCCACCAAGTAGTTGGTAAGCTAAATACATCTGGCAACAGCATTCATTATAGGCTGGAGGGGGGAGAGCTTGTGTAAAGGCCAAATAGGAGGGAGTCGCAATAGTCGTGGCAAAATATAACAAGGTGGAGTAATAAGAAGCTTTGTTGTGGAATTTGTTAGGAAAGAGGCGAATTTTGTAAATGTTGCAGAGGTTAAGGAGGCAAATATTAGGATTTTTTAAATAGTTGCATTCCATATTTTTGGAAGAGTATATAATCTAAAGATACAATGCGTGTCTGATAGACAACAGTTGAATTTACTTTACTTTTACTTTGTGTTGAACAATCATATGAATAATAATCCTTTTGTAATAAGATTCTTGCACACAATCTATAGATATCACCTAGGTACATCAGTATTTATACAGAACTGTAGAAAAAAGCAATGCTCGTAGCATGACCTAATTTTTTATAACAAAAGCAGAATGATTGGGTGCAGTTGTTGATCTGTAACAGGAACACAAAAACTTGCAGGACTTTTTCAGGGTGAATGGTGAATACATTGTTTAATCTAATCCAGCTGTATTGTTATAGAATTATGGCAGCACACTCTAAAAAATTACAACCTTGACAACTGAAACATTATAAATTGCTATATTGGCATGCATATGTGTGTATGACAAAATTTCCTATACAAATATACAGCTAAATTTGGCAGTTGACACCCAGGTTTAACATAACTTAGTGTTGAACTCATGCAGACTCATGCTTGCATGTCCACATGAACAGTGGCCAGGACAAAAGTAGTTGTAACATCTGTTATAACTCAACAAAATGTAACATTGTATTCTGTGGCTTGTCTCTTTAAGGAAAGCTCAAAAAATAAATTGTGACAAGGTTATTTACAAAGGAGACGAAGGTCTACATTGTGCATTTTTTTTGTTGTGCAGCAAAAATGAATAAAATTGGTAAAAAGTAGAACACATATGTATGGTTTAAAAATAGTCAGTTAAGGGTTAATAGGAACAACTTTTATTTACAAACAAAAAAAGTATTTTATTACAGGTTTGCGGTAATGATATCATTGATATTAGGGTTGCACCGATACCGGTATTTTGGTACCAAGTACGAGTACCGATAATTTTTTTTTCGGTACTCGCCGATACCAATTAACGAGTAACGGAAGTCCCATTCAGGAAGCCAGGTGGCTTTCTGATTAGCCGGGAAGCCGGGCAGCGTATAAATACTCGCCACCTGGCTTCCCGATTAACAAGAAAGTCTGTCCCCTCTTACCTTGGTATGTCCAACCAGTCACCCCCGGGGCCTCTCCAGCCAGAACGCGGCCTTCCTCTGGTACCCAGCCGGAGCCGTCTGGCCAATCAGGAAGCTGGGCGCCGTGTAATGATGTGACACCCTGCTTTCTGATTGGCCAGGAGGCCAGCTCCATGCTCCCTCATCATGGGATGACAAGGGAGCATGAAGCCAGCTTCCCGGCCAATCAGAATGCCGGGCGCTGCGTCATTACACGGCGCCCGGCTTCCTGATTGGCCAGCTAACCGACCAATCAGGAATCCGGGCAGCGCGTCATTACACGCTGCCCTGCTTCCTGATTGTTGACTTCTTCTGCCTTCTCTTAACCCTTTTCTGAATAACTATGATAATGATTAATAGGCTTGGTCATTCTTGAACTTTTGTTGGAGAGTGCCCAATCCATACTCAAGTAATTCACTAACACAAATGTTTTGTGTTAATTTCACAGGATAAATTCAGTGGTCAGAAAACTAAAATGCATTTCACACAAATATACCCTTAATTAATGACTCATCTTTGGGCAAAACTTGTCAGATGATTAGACAAATCCTTTTGTTAAAGGCGGAAAAGTTAGCTGATCACTAGTTGTATATGATGCCTTTAGGTCTGGATTTAACAATAAATGCATAAATGCTCTGCCAGGCCTATATTATTCCAGACTCTGGAGGGGGAAAATAGTCTTTTGGATCACCAGAGGGGCCCCCACATACAATTAATTTGATAATTATTAGGCTATATACTTGCATTATATCTGTTTGTTTTATATCTTGTACATCCCACTGTTGGCGTAATATGTCATTGCATGCTTAGATGGCTGGTTTCCATATTTAGGTTCTTTAACTATATACCAGTAAATTTTTTGTTGTGGTTAGAGCTTGAACTCAAGTGCTGGAACCTCTTGCATCCAGTAGCCAACATTTCAGAACCAGGCAGGGTTCCTCCTTCAGGGCTGACATAATGACCTGTAGAGCTTGTCGGCCCTGAAGAAGGAACCCTGCATGGTTCAGAAACACAGGCTACTTCATACAAGTGACATGTTTCTGCAATAAAAAGAAAATTTGGGTTTATTGCATCCCATGAGTGCTGGTGATCCTCATTGCTATCTATCGAATCCTAGAGGAAAACATTGATAAATAGATCCCTTAGTCTTGCGCCTATGGTTTGCTGTGATAAATCCCAACCCAGAGTGGTTATTACAGTAAACTCACAGCTTACGTAGTTGATAATCAACAAATGTATAATAAGTTAAGCTGCACAAATGTTCAGTGCAGGGGTTAAGGTTAACCTGCTGTATATAAATCACATTTGTGTCCTAGTTCTGTCAGTTTAAAGTCATTGTCCCAGAAATTTTCTGTACTGCTGGCATCAATCTCTATATGCCTGAAAAACACCAGACCCAAAGAGGTTTATGAGAAATCTTACATACAGGCAGGATCAGCAGTAGGATTATAAGACTGTAAAATTGCCTGGGGGAAGGGCTTAAGTAATGGTGGTACAGAGTCGAGTCTTGTTTAAGAACTACACTTATCTTTCATCCCCATCCTGTGAAAACTATTTATTATTGACCATTTCAATTATTGATAGTAAAATATGCAAATACGTATAAATCATCTTTATGGTCTTAAATGTATACCCTATTTCACAGACCTTTAATCGGAGTCCTGTGTTTTGTATGGCCTTAATTAGATCAATTGCTTTTGGAAATTTAAACCATGATAAATCGATAATAATTTCAGAAAAGAAACCAACACAAAGCAGGTTACCCAGTATCAGTTCTCTGAAATGTGAGGAATTTGACGGTATGGTATGCATACAAATTAAGCTTGTTTTTCCTGTATGTCTCTATCACCCTGTTGCAGATGGTGACCCCTGTTTATATCTACAACACCAGCATTCAGTTGTCAGCCACCCACTATACCAAGGCTAAAACTAGACAAACACTGGCCTCTCCAAACCTACTTACATAGTATAAGAGATCTTTTAAACACCATAAAAACATGAACAGTGATAATACAAATGAGCCTGTTCTGTGATGTGTATGCTTTTCTTTTTCTTCACATCTCGTAATTTTCTGTCACTTTGCTTTCAACAGTGAAGATTGCAGAAAAGACTTGACATGCACTGCTCTGCTAGTTCATTCACCATGACAATTTCTTTGTTACATTGGATCTGACCCTTGATAAGTCAGTGCTTGATGTCAAATTGAATGTCAAAGCAAGCAAATGGCTTAAAAGTGTATAGCCACTTTTGCTTTGAAAGCGATTTTGCTGGAACATACCGTGAAAATGATGAAAGATGAAAAAGTTACAATTTAGGTTTTAAGAAAACCACATCAAAGTTGTTATTATATAATCAAATAATGTATATGTGTACATAAATATATTGCATACAACTGTTTACAACCCCAATTCCCAAAAAAGTTGGGACACTGTGTAAAATCTACATAAAACAGAAGGCAATGATTTGCAAATCTCATAAACCCATTTTTTATTCACAATAGAAAATAGAAAACATATAAAATGTTTAAACTGAGAAAATGTACCATTTTAAGAAAAAATAAGGTCATTTTGAAATTGATGGCAGCAACACGTTTCAAAAAAGTTGGGACAGGGCCATGGTGTAGCATCCCCTCTTCTTTTAACAACACTCTGTAAGTGTTTGGGAACTGAGGAGACCAGTTGCTGGAGTTTTAAGGGAGGAATGTTGTCCCACTCTTGCCTGATATAGTACTCTAACTGCTGAACAGTCCTGGGTCTTTGTCGTATTTTTCGTTTCAAGATGCGGCAAATATTTTCAATTGGTGAAAGGTCTGGACTGCAGGCAGGCCAGTTAAGCACCCAGACTGTTCTACTATGAAGCCATGCTATTGTCATAGATACAGTATGCAGTTTAGCGTTGTCCTGCTGAAATTAGCAAGCCTTTCCCTGAAAAAAACGTCATCTGGATGGTAGCATATGCTGCACTAAAACCTGGATATATTTTTCAGCATTGATGGTGCCTTTCCAGATGTGCAAG